GGCTGGGGTTGCAGTGTTTTTTTTTTTCTTGCCTTCATATATTCACTGTTATCTGACTTACCAGTGAGGAACCCCCTCATTAAATAGAAGCAATGGAGTAGGTGCCTCTGAGCCTCAGGAATGGAACACACTGCCTTGGGGCTCAGAGTGTGACCAGTCCTGGAGGGGATTTCAAGATCAACTAGTGATCTGAAGCCTGGTTTTGACGTTGCTCCTGAGGTGGGGCTGAAAATTACCTGTTCCTGAACAAGATAAAGTGATTGTATATGAGGAGGAAACAGAATATCCTTAGAGAAAGTAACTGGTTAGTTATTGTATTATCTGGAATACCTGAAAGGAAGCTTTAAAGACTATATTTTTTCCGTAAGTTTTCAGTTTTATTGTGCTGTTTGGTGTTAATCCTTTTCTTTCCAGGTTGTTTGTGGCTCCAAGTACATAGTACGAGGAGAAAATGCCAGGGATCATGTGGACTTGTTGGTTTCCTCACGTCACTGGCCTCCAGTGTATGTTGTTGATACAGCATCTTCAGTAGCACTGTGTGCAGATGTCTGCTGTCCTGGCTTGACTTCCCAGATGTGGGGAAAGAACCAGGGCTGCTTCTCTGACCCCATGGACCCTCCAACGGTTAGTTGTGTCCACTTTGCACTCTGCTATGCCAGTCCCATATAGAAAAGTTTCAAGTGAGATTTAAGTAATTTTAAGAAAGTGTATGTAACCTGTGCTGTGCCTCAAGATAATCTGACCTGATCAGTGTCTCCTGACTCGCAGCTTTGCCAGCTCACAGCTTCTGAGCACAGCAGAAAGTGTTATCTTTTGCTCGGGGCGTTACATCAGGTTCACGCTTCTTAAGAGGAAGAGCAGTTGAAATCCTGAAATTTGGAGTATGTCACTTACTTTGACACAACAGCTCACTTCTCTCAAACTACTGCTGTTACTTGAGAAATGGGAGAGTGAGAGGGTTTCTAGTGCTTTGGGATTATCTCTGAGGGCATATGAGTGAGAGGGATGCATACAGGGCCACCTTTATGGTGTATAGCGGAAGCCTGAATCAGTTAGCCCTCTCTGTCCTGGTTCATAGTGCTGATTGGAGTTCCACCATATGCTAGTTTTGCCTTGTTCTTCTCAACTCTGGGAAGTTGCTTCTTGTTCTACCTGGTGCGTGTCTCTCTCTTGCAGTACGTGTCCTGCCCTGAACTGCTGGACCAGCACTACAGCGTGGACATGACCGTGGCTGAGCACTCTGTGCAGCACCCAATCACCAAGTCAGCAGCACGCCGAATTGTTCACACGGGTTCAGAGCAGAACAGCCCCCGAGACCCAACGGCTCAGCACCACTGCATGTCCCTGTGCCGCGAGCTGGAGCCGTACAGCGCCATCATCGCTGCTATCAACGACAGCAAAACCAGCAACGTCCGCCAAAGGCCCATCACCTTTGAGAACCCCACACACTATTACCTCTACAACCGCCTCATGGACTTCCTCACCAGCAGGGAAATTGTCAATCGGCAGATCCAGGAGATCGTGCAGAGCTGCCAGCCCGGGGAGGTGGTGATTCGTGATGCTCTCTACCGGCTTGGGGTGGCCCAGATTAAAACAGAAACAGAAGAGGATGAGGAGGGGAAGCAGGAGGATGATAGAGGTTGCTGAGTAACAAACCAGCTTGCTGGTGTCTGTCTCTGGTCGTATGGATGGGTGGGCTGGGCCAGCTTCTGCAAGCTGTCTGGCTTGAGTTTATTTTTACAGGTTGGAGACATGATGCTGGTGGCTTTTACTGCTGTTAATGACCAAAGAGCTGTGTGCTTCCATAGTGTCATGATAGCTGCTGCAAGCATGGGTTCGTCACCCCCCTTGATAAAGGCTGCAGCTGCCTCCCAAGGTGTGTGATGGACCCACTGTGCAAAACATCACCCTCCCTGCAGTAGGCGAGTGGAGATGGCAGAGGCCTTCCTGGGAGCAGGGAGTATCAAGCACACAGGGGTTTTGATTCTGAATCTTGCTGGCTGACTTCTTTGTGTGTCTTGGTGGCAGGGCTGGGGGTGTGGGAGCAGGCATGAGCGGCAGATAGCAAAGATTTCTTCTAAAATATTCTGAATAGATTAATTTAGGACACTGACTCCTGCTTGGAGGTCTTGTATGCATTGGCTGTGAGGAGTTTTTAGTTGAGGAGGAGCCACGCAGCTTTAACTGGCTGTATCTGGGCAGCACTCCTGGGTCCAGGGTTGTGAGTGCTTCAGCTGCAGAAAGTTGCTAGAATTGTTTGTCCCTTCTATAAGCACTAATAATGTAGAAGCTGAAACATACAGTCAGTGGAGAGTGTTCTGAATGTTACAGTAAGAATTAACTGCGTGAGGCCCAGGGGAGCCAAGCTCGTTGCTGGGCAGTATAAGCATAGTGCAAGGTGGTGGCTGTGGAAAGGAGGACACTCAATTTCTGTGCTGTTGTCCTGAATGCTTTTTTCTTCAGCAGTTTCATTCTGTTCAAGGACTTGTCTTTCTGTGGTCCTGCCCTAGAACAGAATCACAAAGCCTGGCTGTGGAGCCAAGGAGGAAGGATGAATGCAGTGTGAGCAGGGCAAGCAGGGTTCTGTCTTCCACCCTCCAGGGAAGCGCTAGTGGAGCTGCATCTGCATGGGCAGCCTCAGTGCTCTATTAGGTGTCACGTTGGTCCTGCCCATGTCCACACAGTGCTGTGGGGGTTAGAGCAGCCTCCTGCTGCCCAGGTTGCTTTATCAGCTCCTTGAGAGGAGTCAGGCTGAGACCTCTGCCCCTGCAGCAGGGCTGGAGAATACCTTGGGCTGCAGCTGTTAAGTTACATGCGTTGTCTGCTGCCAGCTCCCTTTTGCTGTTGCTGGTGATGAAGGTGGGTGGATGTTTGCTGTGACCCACACAGGAGAGAAGCAGGATGCTAGACTACTTACATTGCCATCCAGGGAGTTTATTTTGCCTAAGTGAACAGTGGGGAAGATTCAGAGGCTTGTGGTGTGGTTGAAAACTCCCTTCTGTGAAGGGGAACCTATTGACTACCGTACTGTTAAAGTAAATGTATTAAGTCTGAGCAAATGCAGTATATGGCTTGGGGGTTTTCTGTTAAGAACATTAACTTATTATAAGAGACATTAGTGACTTTTTTCAGTCAGTGATAAAATTTAATAAATTATCTCCAATTTTTGGGGTGAAACTCTGGCTGAATGACTGTTGTTTGTGGACAAGACCTGGAGGACTGCAGGGGGAAAGGGCACAAACACTGTGTGCACATATACCACAACCCTGGTCTGCACTGCCAGGGTGGTGGGGGAAGAGCCTGGTGTTCTCAGGAGCAAGGTATTCTGAGAGGAACAGCTTGAGAAATGGCTTGGGCCACCTCACCAGCATATCAGGTAAAACTGTCCTGCTAAATAGAGCTGAGGTATAGTTCTTAGAAGCTCTTCTGCAGATGGTGAACTCCTCTGCTCTTGTTCTGCATTTCCTGAGGCGACCTTCATAGGAGAGGGTCTGCAGCACATGACAGTAATTCCTCTTCAGGCTGTGTCTAATAGCCTGGGATGGAGATCCTGCTGCCTCTAAGCAATTACTACAGGAGGACCTGCTGCAGTAACCCCGAGTCTGCTCACCAGGGCCCTTCTGCCTCTTCCCTGCCCTTGGCGGCTGCCACATGCCCATCTCGAATGCAGTTACTTGTCAGATGTCCCATCATCACAATTCAAATTACTCCCCCATTATATCCATGCATAGGGATTACCATTTTTCTCCAATTACAGACAGGTCACTCTGAGCAAAGTGCTTTAAAATCTTGTTTTTAATAAGTTTTTGCATTATACAAGATTGAATGGTTTTGAGAACTTGTAATGGGAAAGGTGTGTGTCTGAGGAGTTGGAGCAGAGTTGCAGAATTGTGCTCTGATCCATTCCCCTCTAAGAACAGTCCTTAAAGCTCTAGAACAGACTCATTTTGCTAAACATTTCATTCTTTATAATGCTGACAGATAGAAATGAATGTGTTTAGTAAGGAGGAAAGAATCACTCGGTGTTAGCATAAACCCAGGGTTACTATAATCAGATATGGCTCACAGTGTAACTGCTCAGGGTATGACAAAGGCCACCAATGCCAGAGTAGTTGTGTCTCGCTGTAGTTTTTCTGAGCCCTGTCAGTGCTTATACCTGGTGTACAGAGCCAGGTGAAGTTAAGGTTCATTAGCTACTTCCATTACTGGCACTACTAGCCCCAAATGAGAGCTCGATGAGAAGTAAGTTTAAGGGCATCAGGCCCTAGCTTATGAAAAACTATTCTCTCAGGTGTTCTATTAAAAATAGACTAAGGAAGATATATACAAGAGTGTGTCTGTATTTGGGACAAAGGCAGTGATTGCTACATGTTTAATAATGCAGAGGGCTTGTAGGATATGTGTCATGTTGATCATTTCCAGATCTGTTTAAGCTGCCGTTCTTTCCTGGACTGGGGATGTGTTCAGTGCTCACATGGAAGTGCACTGGTTACATCTGTGTCTTACCTGAGAAATAACTGCCCTCCATCCCCAGGTTCACATAACCCTGGGGCTGGCTCCTTGGCTCTCTTCACCCAAACACTCCCTGCCAGAGCATCAGCTGTGTAGAGGTAGATTGGGTGAGGAAATGTAGAGGTTAATGCATATTTAATGCTAAGTAGAGGCTTTACCTACATATAAACACTCGCTCTGCCCCATCCAGGATCAGACTGGCAAAGGGAAGAGAGCAGGACCACAAGAAAGAAGACTGTTTCTGGTGTGTGGAACAGTTCCAGCTTCAGGACTTAGTTTGAGATGTGCTCATAAAACACAAGGGTTCAGTTGTGGAAACGTCTTACTTGGTTGCAGCTAGTATTTAAAAAACCCTACAAAACTGAAACACCCCACAGCCTCATTGGGGATGGGGAGGCAGGTGACAGGGACCTCTCCGTACCTTGTAGAGATGGAGCGTGTGCCCATCCTCACAACCTAGGCTATGCTTCAAGTAAGGCCTCAGGGATCCCACGGTGAGGGTTTGGGTTGGAGTCACTCCAGCACTGTCGTTTCAGTGAGGGAGTCAGTAACACTCATACTCCAGAAAGCACAGAGAGGAGAGCCAAAGCTGAAGGCATCTGTGTTCTAGGGCAGGGCAGCACCGTGCACTCTGCAGAGCCAGGAGGATGGGATCCACCCAGGGCAATGGTACCAGCTAACAGAACTGATAGTTGTTGCCTTTGAGAAGGGGCTGCCCACTGTCCTCTTGCTCGCAGGACTCCTCACAGCAGCCAGAGGTATCACAGCCACTGTCTTCCTCAGCAGTGGAGGGGAGGTTGGTGTAGTCCTTGAAAGCAAGAAAAAAACAAAATCCTCACCCCAAGTGTGTTTCAGTCCCTCCAATCGTGTAGGACATCAGAGGATGACCAGCTGGGGCTGGATGCTCACTCAGTGCTGCCCGTTGTGTCCGCAGGGCATGGCTAGCCCATGCTTTTGTGGAGCTGCAGCATGGCTAGTGACAAGGCAGCGTGCCTTTTGTCCAGCTGCACCCAAAATCCACGGGAATGGGATGGGGCAGGGCTGCTGTGGTAGCAGTAGTATCACTACCCCTATTGCTGCCCATAGAGGTTGCTGCAGAGTAGCTGTATTTCTTTGTCCAGCCTTCTTTGGCCATGGTGGGGAGTGGCTTAACCCTTCAGCATGGGGAAATCTGGATGCCTTTCTGCTGTGCCCACCAGCACTAAACTGCTCCCATCAATTAAAGGCAAGGGCCAGCACCAGGAAAGTTTTCCAGTTCATGTAGGGGGAAAGCACATCTCCCCCCTTCTCTCCAAAGGTCCTCACCTGCTCCTTATGCACCTCCAGTTCTTTCTGGATGAAGCAGCCGATCTGGTCGAAGGTTGGTCTCTCTGTGGGCTCCAGGCTCCAGCACGCCTGCATGATGGTGTACCTGCAGAGCCAAACAGGGACAGGGTGGCTGCACTGTGCTGCTGCAACGCTGCTGGAGGGTCCACACTTCCCTGTGCAGTACTCTATTTCAAGCACACAATACTGAGCAGTCCCCTGACTATAAACCCCATGATCAGTACATGTGCAGTGCTCCAGGTAAAGGTGAACACTGAAGTGGATAAACTAATCTATCAATAAGGAGCTTTATGCCTCCAGTACGTTGTTACTTAAGCTTAAACTCATTACTTTCCTGTAGCCTATTGAGGCTTGTCTTCTTGTAGTCCTAGAGTGAAAAGTAGCTGACGTTAAAAGAGGGAAAAACCCCAAGGTCAGGAATGTAACATATAACATGAGCTCTCCCATATTCCTGTCCATAAACAGAGGAAATAACGGATAGAGCACTGACTGCCCCAGGTCTTGCTTTCCTGCAGGAGCAAGGAGCCCCATAGTGTCACCTCAGCACATCCACTCACATTTCCAAGGGAGCGAAGTCGGGTCTGGCCATCTGGTATCCCTGCTTCACCATGCTGTAGAACTTGCTGTTCACCACCATGCCAGGATATGGACTTTTACCTATGACAGTGACAGGAGCAGAGGTGGCTCTCAGGTTAGAGCCTCTAACACTCCAGCCTTGTGGGGTAGCTAGAGGCAGCCTGAAGCATCGCCTGAGCCACTGCTACTTGTCCTCAGGGAGTTCTGAGTTAGAGCAAATCCTCCAGGATCCAGTTCTTGGTTCACTTTTGCAGAGACATTAGGGCAGTGGTAAAGCCATGGAAAACAAGTGGTTTGTATGCTCATTTCTTTCTTACCAAGGGAGAAGATCTCCCAGAGAAGGATGCCATAAGACCACACGTCGCTCTGCACTGTGTAAATGCAGTCAAAGATGCTCTCTGGGGCCATCCACTTCACGGGCAGGCGGGCCTGGAAGAGCAGAGAGTCCTGCAGCCTGGGACAAGCTGACAGCTTACCCTATCCCCCATCCTTCATGCTGCAGCTTGTACCTTCTGTGGTCCCCATTTTAAATTACTTACGTTGCCTTTTACAACATAATTCGAGTCATTCATGATATCGCGGGCCAGGCCGAAGTCACAGATCTTGGCTACCCGTCCATCTGATATGAGCACATTCCTGGCTGCTAAGTCACGGTGGATGCACTGGGGAGAACAGAGCACAACTGAGACCCAGCCAACATCCCCCAGCAGTCCCAACTAATTCCCCACAGCCTGGGCCTGTCACTGAAACAACACTTAACAGGGGCAAAGGGAACATGAAGTGCTTGAAAAGCCGCTGTGAGAGGCACTGTGTCACGTACAAGGAGTATGGGCTCTGCAATGCTGGGACATCGTAACATTTCATGCTTTAATCACTCATGGGGCCATCATCTTCCCCGTGGGAGAAGGCTCAGAACCAGGGAGTGTTGACAGTGTGTCCTCATCTCTGAAACAGCCATACAGTGGCTCTCCGGTACTCTAGATGAGCCGGCTCTGGCAGACAGCTCAACGGCCACTTTCGGTTCCCTGTCCCTAGGGCAGTGGGGGAGCTGCCAGTGCAAGAAAGCTTCACATCAAACTTCCTGACCTCATGTAAAAGCTGGCCAGAAAATGGTGACACGAGCAGGGGACACGGCCCTGGGTTCCCGTCCTTAACATTGCCCTGCTGCCTGGAACCCATGTGAGACAAAGGCTCTGCAGGGGACACCAGACACCATGGTCCAGCATGTCTGAACCCAACAAACAGAGCAGAGAGGCCCATTTCCTGAAGCAGTTCGCTTGCGCTTGGCCACCCCATCCATAAACATCCCAGCTTCTATGCAGACAGGATGGATGGTGCCTGCTGCCTGCACTGGTGTTTCCCACTTGGAATGCTGGGGGGACAGTTGTCCTGTTGGTACTCACATTCTTTGATGCAAGGAATGCCATGCCCTGGGCCACCTGGCTGGAGAACTGCAGGAGGTCAGAGAGGTTGAGGGGACGGAGGTCCTCCCTGGTTTCATCTTCTTCCTCTGGGCTTTTCCCTGAAATTCAAACTGAAGTTGCAGAGTTGCTGCAAACCAGGCAAGCACCACATGCTGTGCTGTGCCCTGGTTCTCCAGTGTAAACCAGATGGGGTGGCCAGAATAAAGAAATCATGAAAACTCAGAAATGAACCTTTAACTCACCCCTGGCTTGCGCAGAATCTGATGATGCTGAAGATGCTGATGATGACACAGGCTTCATTTCAACATACATTTCCAAACCCTGGCTCGAAAAGCCACTGTCACTGAGTCAGAAGCAAGAGAAACATAGGCAGGCTGTTAGCAACCCTCCAGCAGTACCTTCTGCCCTTTACACCCACTGAGAGAAGAAACCACGTCCCTGTCTGCAGGAAGTGGCTTAAGGACAAAGGGTAAGTCAACGTTGAGGCCAATTCAGAAAGGGGACCGAGGTGCCCTGTGGTGCGAGGGTCCAAATACTGCTCCCCTTTTGTCAAGGGGCTGCCCTTGGCTCATAGGGAGTGGCTCAGCCTCTTGTCCTACAAAACCCACATGCCCAAGAGTGGAGGAAGCCAGAAAGTTTTGATTCCAGATTGTGGAAGGACAGACTGGATTGAAACACGGATTTATTGTGGGACATTCAACGGCTGCTGTCAAACACTGAAAAACCTGGAAATGTAACTGTGTCTAAACACACAGGCTTTTATACCCTGGTGCTCTGCAAGTCCCCAGAGCTTTGGCCTCATCTCTCTGCACACTTCTCCCAGCAAGCATACAGGCTCCGGAGTCACCTGAGCTCTGCCCTTACCTGCGGATGTATTTCTTCTCTAGGTCAATGTTTTTGTAATCAGCAGCACTATCTAAAGAGATGTCCAGTGCAGAATCCCTGATAATGATGGATTCAGCCTTCTTCCGCAGGAAATTCAGCAGATCTCCATAGCGACAGTACTCAGTGATGACGAGGATTGGGCCTGGGAGAGAGGCAGGAAGGGTTAATTAAGAATTGACATTACTGTGACCTGTCCTGAGGACTGCTTTCCCTGGTAGGGCAGCAGAACCCATACTGCACACGAGCATGTCTGGAAACAGGCCCTTGCACAGTTACAGGTTCAAAAAAGACTGCCAAGATCATCGTGTCTGTTGTGAGAAGAGGAGAGGCAAGAGCCTCCGAGGGGCAGGCAATGGGAGACGTCCGTGGGGAAGCAGGGCTGTAGGATCCCACCTCCATAGGTACATGCTCCCAGCAGGTTGACAATATTCTCGTGGTGTCCCAAGTGACTCATGATCTTCAGCTCAGACATGAGAGCCTCCTGCTCGTCTGTGTCTGCTGATGCTGCAAGACAAGAAAGGAAGGGCTGTGTGAAGGAGAGACAGAGGGACAAGGAAGAGGCTAAATGGGAGGACAGAAAAAGGTATAGACGCAGATACGGAGCAAAAGGAGGAGACACACTCAGAGGAAACTGCATCCTCTGTGCCTTTGGCCATGCATGTTCACAAAACTGATTGTGATTCCAGTACCCAGTACTTGTCACAGAAACATCTAACAAAAGTACATGTTGTGTCCTGGGAGCACCAGCACATGGTGAACATATACTATGTCCTGACCAAAAGAGTTGGGGGTATTTCAGCCTTTGCAGATTGCTCTGGGCTTACACTTTAGCATCTTCACAGCCACTTTGAGGACGGAATCTTCTTTGCCCAGCCCAAAAGCAGTGGCTTCTACCACTTTTCCAAAGGCTCCTGCTCCAAGAGTTTTTCCTGTAAAGGGAATAAAAAAGTGTGCTTACAAGATGCTTTATAGAAAAAAATAGAGCAGTTGTCCTGCATGAGCCTTGAGGAGGATGTC